GCCCCTACTTTGCCTCGTGGCATCTGCTATAAAATAAAGACACGGCTTGTGGGCGCTGGCGCTGTCTCCTCATCAGGGAGCAGCATCCCACCGAGACCCAGTTTTCATTCTCTTGTCTGTCTTTTCTCAATCCTTCCCCTCCCCCCCCACTCAGGATCACCTTTGGCCGTAACAGTTCAGCCCTAGCTGGTCTGGCTCAGTGGATAGAGCGTGGGCCTGCAGACCAAAGGGTCCTGGGTTCGATTCCAGTCAAGGGAATGTACCTTGGTTGCAGGCTCCTCCCCTGCCCGGGCCCTGGTCGGGGCATGTGCAAGAGGCAACCAATCGATGTGTTTCTCTCACATCGATATTTCTCTCTGTCTTTCCCTCTCTCTTCCACTCTCTCTAAAAGTCAATGGAAAAATATCCTCAGGTGAGGACTAACAAAACAAAAAAAACTTAGAACAGTTCAGAGTAGTATGTGGAACCGCATTATAGGTTTGAACTACGTGGGTCCACTTATACACAGATTTTTTTTCCAGTAAGTATTATAAATGTATTTTCTCTTATGATTTTCTTAATAACATTTTCTCTAGTCACCGATTCTTTTTATTGTAAGAATTCAGTACATAATACATATAGCATAGAAAATGTGTGTTACCAGTAAGGCTTCCAGTGAACAGTAGGCTATTTTTTTAAAATATATTTTTATTGGTTTCAGAGAGGAAGGGAGAGAGTGAGATAGAAACATCAATGATGAGAGGGAATCATTGATTGGCTGCCTCCTGCACGCCCCCTACTGGGGATCAAGCCCGAAACCCGGGCATGTGCCCTTGATCTGAATCAAACCTGGGACCCTTCAGTCCACAGGCCGATGCTCTGTCCACTGAGCCAAACCAGCTAGGGCAACAGTAGGCAATTTTAAGTTTTGGGGGAGTCAGAAGATACATGTGGATTTTCAACTGAGGGTAGGGCTTTATAAGGGTTTCAAAATCCCAGGTTTCCCACTTCAGTGGGTGCAAGCCCGCTGCTTTTCACAGCCGCTGGCGTTGTAGGCTGCTTGCTTTCAAGACTTATAGAAGGGGTGAGAGGGTCCAGTTAAAATGCCAGAAATCCTGCTGTTCTTAGCCAAGGTCCACTGCTTTTTGTTGAATTAATGCTCCTCAGGTCGTGGCAGGCCTTTGGTTAATTCCCAGGGTTGCACAGAAGTTGATTTGGGCAAATTTGCAACTCCTGTCAGTGCTTTTATGGAAGAACAAATTTATAGAGATTGTCACTTGGCCATTCTTGACATACTTCCTGGGTTCTCACTTCTGAAAAGAATTTTCTTCATTGTCATTTAGATGACTTTTTAGGAAGGGAATGAAAGCAGATGAATGTGTTCGGTCTGACATCGGTACCCAGAAGTCTACAACTTTTTTTCTTTTTAATTGATTTGAGAGAGAGAGAGAGAAACATTGATTTTATTGTTCCACTTATTTATGCATTCATTGGTTGCTTCTTGTATGTGCTCTGAGCAGGGACTGAATCTGCAACCTTAGTGTCTTAGGATGGTGCTCTGACCAACTGAGCTATCCTGCCAGGGCCTAGAGGGGTTTTTTTTGAAGTTTTTGAAGTTTGAAAATTACTACTCTGTTTGATGAAGTTGTGAGTTGCATTTCACTTTCCATTTTATAGATATTTGCATTGACTTGGAAAGTGTGTTTGGGTTGGGACCAGAGCCAGTTCTACCAAGAAGTAATTGAAGTTTAAGCTTCAGGGAACCTCAATTGTGCCTTTCAAGGGCCTGCAGGGATCCCATCGATATGTTGATATGGTCATACGATTTTGTAAAATTTGCCAAGGCAAGATGTTTGTTTTTTTCCCTAAAGTGCGCACTGCCTCCAGGTCTCACAAAACTTGAACTTGTTCCAGACATGTAAACTATACATACCTTCATTCTTTTTTATTGGTTGTAGTGTTACCTAGAACAGTGGTTTTTAAACTTTAATATGTCTACAAATCACCTGTAAGTCTTTTGAAATTCAAGTGTGTGTCAGTATTTCTGGAGTGGGCCTACTGCTATGCATTGCCAGCAATCTCACTCACGCGTTGCCAATTTTCTAGACTCTTAATGGTTCATTCACTGATTGCATATGCTTTTCGATTGGAGTCTAATGAAGAAAAACCTTAATGTGATCTACTGATTATCTTCATTAAATGAAACTGTGTTATCTTACAGAAATATTCCCTTTTTTCTTTGTTTTTAGGTTGGCGCTGTAAACGGTATGGTCACCGAACGGGCGACAAAGAATGCCCTTTCTTTATCAAAGGCAACCAAAAGTTAGAACAGTTCAGAGTAGTAAGTAGAACCCCACCATGTGAATTTACATTTATTAGAAATAGTGCATGTCCATGAACCAGGCAGTAATTGGTGAACTGGAGTTCATATAAAATACATTCCCTGAAGCATTTCGGCCAAAGTATCTGATGTTAACTACATCTCTGTTAAGTTACATTTGTGTGATAGATTAGTTTATTAACAAAAAACTAACTTCTTATTAAAGTGGCACTAGCTTATATGTTGGGAATAGTGCTTCTTTTTATGAAGTAGACATTGTTATTTATTCAGTCTTTTTTTTTTTTTTTTTTAATCTTCACCCGGGGATGTGTTTTTTATTGATTCTAGAAAGAGAGGGAGAGAGAGAAAAACATCAATTGGTTGCCTCGCTTACACGCCCTGACTGGGATCAGACCCAAGACCCTGTGGTGCACAGGATGACGCTCCAACCAACTGAGCCACACTGGCCAGGGCCAACGTTTTTTAGACATTTAAAATTGTGTTTTAGCCCAGCCAGTGTAGCTCAGTTTAGTGTTGGCCCATGCACCAAGAGGTCACCTGTTCAATTCCCCATTAGGGCACATGCCTAGGTTGTGGGCTCAATCCCCAGTAGGGGGCATATAGGAGGCAGTCTATTAATATTTCTCTCGCCCCTCCTCTTTCTCTAAAATCAATAAAAATATTTTTTTAAATGTTGTGTTTTAATTTTATAATAATTTTAAATACGTTTTTGATCAATCATTCCTCTTCTAGGTAGAATGTCAATTTTTTAAAATTGATTTGAGAGAGAGAGAGGAATGGGGAGAGAGAAACATCGATTTGTTGTTCCACTAACCAACTGAGCTACTTGTCCAGGGCAGAATGTATACTTTTATAGATACTATAGAAAATAAAGTGGTGATAAACCTCAAAAACTTTAAACATATTCTTTTTTTTGTTTGTTTACTCAGAAAACCCACTTCTAAGAGTTTACCTTAAGGACATAAGAGAACATCATTATATACATAGCTGTTTATGTATGTATCAGGATAACTTTATAATTATATGATTGAAAAAAATGGAAACTAAAGAAAAGTAGGAAACAACCTAATAGTCCAACATATCAACATAAAATACTGTAACAAAAATTATTTAGATGTTAGTAATTATATTTTAGAAGAATGTGTAATGTCAAGGAAAATGTTCAAGACAGCAAGTGAAAGCAGTAGAGTTGTGTATATAAAATGATTATAGTTTTTCATAAATTATGAATAATGATTGGAGGAAAGAGACTAATGTTAGTAGTAATTACCCCTTAGGTAGTGAGGTAATAGATTTAAAAAATTTTTTTTTATAACCCGAAAATTTCTACAATAAATATTTCTTCTTTTTTTTTAATTGAGGTAATTCACATACCATAATATTTCTCATACTTATTCTTATTTTTAAATAATTCAAGTCATTTTAAATTATCTGTACTTCTGTATACTTCCAGACTTGGTTTAGGGTACAGATATTTTTGTGTATCTATAAATGCTTCATTCTTATATATCATCTATTATAATTCACTTTTTTAAAAAACCTATCTCTTAGTCATCTATACACATAGACCAAAGAGAATTACCTCAATATTTCTACCTTGTATAGTAGTTTGTGATTCTGCCAGAGTTTATTTACTTATAAAAGATACTTAAATTATATGCTATATATATTTTTTCAATCCTATATTTTTAAATCTTTTTTCTTTTTAAAAAATTATTTTATTTTCAATCCTGTGTTTTTCTAATTGGAAAATCCTTTTCACAGCATCAGTGAGTTAGCAGTCAGTGATGGTGACCCTCAGGAAGAATTAGAACATGTTAACAAATTACCAAACTGGAAAAAAATAACTGGTTTTAGTAACAGAGAGATTTAATATTTATTTAATTAATGGTTCATGAAGTCTTACCCAACCTTAACTTTCTCTAACCCTCAAGGCACATGAAGATCCCATGTATGACATCATCCGAGAGAATAAGAGACATGAAAAGGATATAAGGTGAGGTTGTCCTGATGATAACAAGACCCTCTTGAAGTTTTAAATGGTATTACGTTGGAAACAATTATTCCTATTAGAGGAGCAGTGTAACAAATGTGGTGCTTTCATTGCGCAGCACTTGGAGGTCAGGAGCACTCACTGAAAAGGCCGGTGTTCCAGGAATGAGCGGGTCAGCCTGCTCCACTTGGGTTAGCTTAATGCAGTGGGCGTGGCCCAGCCTGCTGACGCATGGATGGTTGATGTTGGCAGCCCTCTTCGTGGTGTGTGGTTCTACTGTTTGATTGGTTCTCTTTCATATGATTTAGTTTATATTCTCCAATGTCTTCAGGGATCTGAGCTATTGTTCAACATGAATAAAGACAGTGAAAAAACAGGAGGTTTTTATTTTTTCAGATTTGTGGTCTTGAGTTATAATTGTTGAGGGGGTAGATTACCTAGTATGAACTTGAGCAGTCGGGGGATGATTTAGGAAAGGCTGTATCTGTTAGAGGTTACAATAGAAGGGACTATAGAAATATGCAGGCACACCTCCTTGGGGCATGTGCACTCAAATCTCCTTTTCAAGTGAATATTATCTCCTAAACTCTAAGGGACCCCATGAGACTTGCAACCAGGGGAGCAGTGGGGAGTGACAGCGCATCCCTGGCTAACCCCCTGATGAAAAGGTCCCCAAGGCCCCCTTTCTCTGACTTCCTAGTGAGCGAAGCAGCCCCGTGTAAGCTCTCCTGTTACTTCCATCCTAGTCCCGTCCTTGTTTCACTGTCCCCAGCTTTAATAAACATACTATCAAAAAATAATAATAAAAATTTAAAAAAGAAACGTGGAAATATTTAGGACAATGAAAATGATACAGAACGATTGTACACAGGTAGATAGGCATAAATGTAAATGGTCCTGTAAAATAGGCATGGATGTGGACAGGAATGGGCAACATGCAAAAATAAAAAATAAGTACTGTATTGGATGAGGTGATTATCTGTGACTTTTCTTATCCTCACTGCTAACCTTATATTTAAAAACATTCTTCGACGATGTTGTTACGGTTTCTGGTTCTTTGACCGTCTTCTCTGTCTAGGATACAGCAGTTAAAGCAATTGCTGGAGGACTCCACCTCAGATGATGATAGCAGCAGCTCCAGCTCCTCGGAATGTAAGGAGAGACACAAGAAAAGGAAGAAGAAAGAGAAGCATAAGAAAAAGAAGAAAGAAAAGAAAAGGAAGAAGAAGCGAAAGCATAAGTCTTCCAAGTCAAGTGAGAGCTCGGACTCGGACTGACAGCCGCTCGGCTTGTCCGCGTTCTCGTCTCAGAATCACACACTGTGGCCGAGAACAGGGGGCCTGGAGTCGGAGAGGGGACACCAAGGAGCACATCTGGTGTCACACACACGAGTGACTTCTCACCTACCTTCCAGGGAAGCTGTGACCCCCGAGAGGGACTGTGTCTCCCCAGGTGCCAGCTCTGGACGGCGCTGACGTCGGCAGGACGGGCCCTCCCGGTCCTCCTCCTGCTGGTCACTGTGGCCTGCGATTCCTAGGAAGTCGGGGTGGCCGGACTAGAGCCTCTGAGGACACTCCTCCAGGGCTGCCACCTCCACAGCGAGGCTGCTGAATTCCCAGGCTTCAGGCTCCACTCTTGTCTGTTGTTGAAGATAAATAAAAGCATTATTTTATTTTTCAAATGTATTTATTTTTTATTTCTGAATAATACATGCATGTGTTCCAAATTTCAAAGGTACATAAGGTTTAATTATGAATCTTAAGCAAATGTGGGTTTTGTTTGTTTTTTAACATAAATGCTAGCATATCATCCCCATTTGTTTTCATTTTTCATTTTTTCATTCAACAGTGTAAAGTATGTTGGGCCTTGCTGCTCACAAAAGCCTGTGTTCATAAACCCTGGCACGATGGGTTGAGTTTTTTGGGGGGGTGGGGAGGAGTAATTGGGTGTCCTGTAATAACAGTAAAAAATCATGGACTTAACTTGCTTAGATCTTATTGCCATCATCCCATGATTATGATTATGCCCAGAACAACTGATTCAGAAAAATTATAAGGATTTAGGGATGACTATACGGGGTCAAGCACCCACATCCAAAATTCACCGTGGTCCTGTTGGCTAAGCACAGCCCTCCTGGGAACTTCTGGTTTTGACTGTGTGCAGCGAGGCAGCTCTGCAGTCTGGGGTGGTGCCTGCAGCTAGGGGAGGGGTCTGTTCTTTGAGGAGCCAAGGAGGAGCCACATCTTGCTCAGGGACAAGTGTCCCTCCCTCTCCAGCTTCAGTTGCTGCTGTCATCACTCAGGGTCCCTGGAACTCACTATTCCCCTGGGGGTCGGATTCCCGCATCCTTTACTAGTACAAAGAGTAACCGAGACAGGCTCCTTCCCCAGCTCTCTCCAGTAACTGCTCCTAGACCTGGCCTTTGAAAGTTTATCTCAGCGACACAATTGGCCCCGATTGGAATGTTCTTTCTGAAAACCCTAAGGCCAGTTAATGCAGCCATGCCTTACACTTACCCTGAGCATCCTAGCTCAGCATGCAGCAGAAAATTCTCCTGCCTGGAATTTTCTTTATTCCGATGGTATGCCATTTATGTTAAACATGTTCTCTTACAATCTGGAAGAAGCATGTCAGTGATTCTCAAACTGGGGTAGTTGTTGGGAGTTACCTTACATTTTGGACTCGATTTCCAAATGTATGCTTGACTTTTCATCTAGCCTCCAGGATAAAGGGAAGACTCCAGGAAGGACCACAGTAGGGAAGTGTGCAATGGCACCGCCTTCCTCTTTCTGTGCTTCCTCTTCCATGTACTGGTTTTAGCATCTTCCCCACCTCCTAGGGCCCAACATCTTCCCCAGTGTGGCTGTTTAAGTGCCTTGAGTTAGTTCACCCACAACGCTTCAAACGCCTACTTCACACGTGTCCAAAAGGCAATGAGATTCAACTCATAGTAACACACTAATCTCTTATAGGAATTTATAGGGGAATGAATCAGGTTGTTGGAATTCCTGGTGGGGTGTTAGAGCAGTGGAATGCCTTCCCGGTTCCCATGAAAGCAGGGAAGTTGGGTCAACCGGACTCAAGTCTTCCCTAGTTTTCAGTTACTCTAGCCAGTGCATCCCTTTCTCAGCCTTTCCACCTCAGTTGTGTTCTGTTGGGCTTGGAATGGTGGGACCAGCGACCACAGGGCGAAATCTGTTCACCCCCGTGGTTGGCAAACTGCAGCTCGAGAGCCACATGCGGCTCTTTGGCCCCTTGAGTGTGGCTCTTCCTAAGCCTTAGGACAGTGATGGCGAACCTTTTGAGCTCGGCGTGTCAGCATTTTGAAAAACCCTAACTTAACTCTGGTGCCCTGTCACATAGAAATTTTTTGATATTTGCAACCATAGTAAAACAAAAATTTATATTTTTTATATTTATTTTATATATTTAAATGCCATTTAACAAAGAAAAATCAACCAAAAAAATGAGTTCGCGTGTCACCTCTGACACGCGTCATAGGTTCGCCATCACTGCCTTAGGAGTACCCTAATTAAGTTAATAACAATGTACCTACCTATATAGTTTAAGTTTTAAAAATTTGGCTCTCAAAAGAAATTTCAATCGTTGTACTGTTGATATTTGGCTCTGTTGACTAATGAGTTTGCCGACCACTGAACAGACGCAAAGCATTCAGAAATACTTGAGTGCCTACGTATCAGGCTCTATACTAACTATTCCATGGAGATATGACAATGGACACTGCTCTGAGAAATATGTGGTCTCCTGGGAGAGATTGAGACTGTTGCAAACTTCATGCGTTATGCCCTGAAATGGGCTATGAAAGTGAAAACACAGGTGATACTGGAACACACAGGAGAGTCAACATAGTCCAGCTTGGGTGGCGATATGGGTCAAAGGTGTTTACCTGGAGGATCTACACCGAATCCTGAAGTAGGGGTTAGGAGAAGTCATAGACCTCATTCAGACCAATCTCAAAAACAGTACCTTTGTTTGCCTTTTTGCAGCTCATCTGAAAAAATGCATTGCTATCACTTTGTACCATCTACTTACAGCATCCTGAGAGGTACTTGGTTACCACAGGGAGTTAAATATAGAGGACGTCTTCACCACAGGGTAACTTAGAGGCAACACTGGTGGACCCATCTGTGTGTATTGCCATACTGTCCATATTATCACCCAAAGAGCCCTTCTGCAAGGCACCCCGTGCTCTCCCACACCCGTCCTGTTCTTTCAAACAACTCTGGGACAGACTTCCATGTAAGTCACATACGAACATTTTGGCACCTCATCAGACTCAACCTGTAAGATTTATTGGGAGAAGATTGGTTCCACAAATTGACCATCCAGGTCCCAGGTTCTGAATATACTTTTGTTTGCTTCATCTTCCTTTGTCTCTAGGAGTGTACTCTGGTTGGAAGACTATGTGGTATGAGAACCAACCCTTGGGCACATCTATCAGTGTTATTATCAGGGACCTACAATGTGCCTGGTCACTCCATCTGTAAAAATGAGCGAGGCATAGTCTCTATCCTCAGGGAAGGACCTGTTCATGGAGATGCCTTCATCTATTTCTTCTGTCCTCAACTCCACCATCACGTTCTCCTTATCTAAAGATCCCTGGAGATTATAAGATAGGCTACATGGTAGAAATATATGCAAGTGACCCAACCCTATTGGTGGTGTTCAGTGATGTGGCCACTTGGGGAAGGGAAGAAAATGTGTCAGATTCACACGACCATATGCAATTCAGTTTATTTACTGTTTCACAACTTATTCCAAAGGCTTTATAACGTGACACTTCCTTAATGTGGTTGTTGGTACCACAGCTTTATTAGTTCAAATCAAGAGAGATATCAATGTTCTAAGCTGAATATCATGCCCTTGCAATATTTAGCTGTTCTTTGTAGCTGGAACTCAGAAATTGGTTTCCTATGAAGTAACAATGGAATAGTACATTCCCTTAAACCAGTTAGTTGTATAACAGACTCAAGATACCTTACACGGAGAATCATTACCAATATCTTTTTCATCTTTGGGCTAAAGCTGGAGGTCTTGACTTTGCTTCAGTTCCCATGGGGCTGCACCACGTCGTCTGGCATGGCTTTACCATAAACCAGGTCATACAAACAGTCTGTTTGTTTTTTAAAGCTTCCCAGAACTGTATTACTGTACATGGGATCCTTTGCCCTCTTCCGCCCCCATTTTCTCTTTCCCAGATGCAGTTTCTTTGAGGTGCATTTCCATACAGAACCTCATTTCAAGAGCTCTTACCATGTAGCTCCCTCTTCTGGGCAACAGAAGATAAAGCCCATCTGCTTCTGCAGGAATGTTGTCAGTTCCTATGTCAATATTAGTAGCTGGAGATACTGGTCACCGACCTATGTCATGGCTGCTGCCTTCTAAGTCAGTGGTTCTCAACCTTCTGGCCCTTTAAATACAGTTCCTCATGTTGTGACCCAACCATAAAATTATTTTCGTGGCTACTTCATAACTGTAATGTTGCTACTGTTATGAATCGTAATGTAAATATCTGAGATGCAGGATGGTCTTGGGCGACTCCTGTGAAAGGGTCGTTCGACCGCCAAAGGGGTCGAAACCCACAGGTTGAGAACCGCTGCTCTAGACCAAAGGCCAGTTGCAAACGCAAATGCCTGCAGGAACCAGCTAGCAAAGAGTGCAGTGGGCCAGACTTATTCCATAACAGCAACTTGTGTTTGTTTATACGTACACACACTTTGACTGCTAAACTCACAATCATATTTTCCACTTCTGCCAAGATCATCATCATCATCATCATCATCATCATCATCATCATCATCATCATCATCATCATCATCATCATCATCATCATCATCATCATCATCATCATCATCATCATCATCATCATCATCATCATCAAGACAATATGCACCTGTATGGCACACCATGGAGTGGCTGACGAATGGCCCCCAGTTCCTCCCTGGACATCCCAGGATTCAGCAAATGAAGGAGCAATGAGTAGGACAGTGGGGCCTCAAACCCTTCAGCACTAGCGTAGGTCTCTGTTCGGACTGGCAGATCCCCAGGCCACATCAATTGCAGCACATTATGAATGTCACCCCACTTCCTCTTTAACCCTAGGTATTGTCAGACTTATTACACACACCCCCAAAGTGATAGTTATAGGAACAGTGGGGCCTCAAACCCTTCAGCACTAGAGTAGGTCTCTGTTCAGACTGGCAGATCCCCAGGCCACATCAATGCAGCACATTATGAATGTCACCCCACTTCCTCTTTAACCCTAGGTATTGTCAGACTTATTACACACACCCCCAAAGTGATAGTTATAAATGGCATCTCGTTGCAAAATATAGGCTCCCTAGGAATTACAATTATGTTTTTTTTCCCTGCTGATTCCTTAGAGCTACAATTGTACTGGTCCCATTGTAGGGATTCAAATATCTGTGGAGTGAATGAGTGAATGAATGAATGAAGGGCCGCCAGGGAGGCTGAGCATCCTTGGTGTGTTTATTACTTGACCAACATGGTAAAGATGAGGCTCAAGGTGTGAAAACATAGACTGTCTTTACACTTGTGGGAAGTCAAAATCAGTCTTCTTTAACGAAGAGACACGGACTGTCAAATTGTCAAAATGAGGGTGACACTGACCACCCA